ATAGCTGTATCATGTTTCATCGTAATAGCTGTATCATGTTTCATCGTAACAGCTGTATCATGTTTCATCGTAACAACTGTATCATGTTTCATCGTAATAGCTTTAGCATGTTTCATCATAATAGCTGTATCATGTTTCATCGTAATAGCTTTAGTATGTTTCATCATAATAGCTGTATCATGTTTCATCATAATAGCTGTATGATGTTTCATCGTAATAGCTGTATGATGTTTTATCGTAATAGCTTTAGCATGTTTCATCGTAATAGCTTTATCATGTTTCATCATAATAGCTGTATCATGTTTCATCGTAATAGCTGTATCATGTTTCATCATAACAGCTGTATCATGTTTCATCGTAACAACTGTATCATGTTTCACCATAACAGCTGTATCATGTTTCATCATAACAGCTGTATCATGTTTCATCATAACAGCTGTATCATGTTTCATCGTAATAGCTGTATCATATTTCATCGTAATAGCTTTATCATGTTTCATCGTAATAGCTGTATCATGTTTCATCGTAACAACTGTATCATGTTTCATCGTAATAGCTTTAGCATGTTTCATCATAATAGCTGTATCATGTTTCATCGTAATAGCTTTAGTATGTTTCATCATAATAGCTGTATCATGTTTCATCATAATAGCTGTATGATGTTTCATCGTAATAGCTGTATCATGTTTCATCGTAACAGTTGTATCATGTTTCATCGTAACAGCTGTATCATGTTTCATCATAATAGCTGTATCATGTTTCATCGTAATAGCTTTAGCATGTTTCATCATAATAGATGTATCATGTTTCATCACAAGAGCTGTATAATGTGATCGATAGCATAAACATTGAAATGAGTTATCGTGTGATCGATATGTACATAGATTATTACTTATTTATGGAGAATGTTTATAGCTGAAGTGATATCCTTGTTATTTTAATGTATTTAGAGAAGCACGTTCAAAAAAAGAAATATGTCGTACCAAAAAATGTATTTAAAAAATAAAGAAAGGAAAACCGAAGTGGCTTTTTATGTATATATTAGAAACCGTTGTCATAGTGATGTTGTTGCTATATTTTTACTTTTATCTCAGTCTTTTATTTCTTTTCTAATGAGCGTGTGTGGGAAATAAAATCCTGAGTCAAAACAAACATCTTCTTAATCCAGAGAACTCTGCCAAGGAAAGTAGGCCTGGAAATACTGATAACAAAATGTATACACCAAGTAAGTACCAGGAACGGATCAATGGAGAGGCTCTGTATCCAGTGGATGATAAGAGGAATGGCTGTCACGATGTGATGATGAAGGAGCTGCCGCCGAAGAAGAAGGTGATTTTTTTTCTAACAACAACATAAGGAAATAAGTTTTCTAAAGACTCTTTAACAATTGATACATAAAAGATCTTGTCAAAATGAAGTGTTCCATACTCCATGCCCTCCATTAAAATATTTGTTCTTGTTTTTTCATGTTTGGCGCAAAATCAAATTAAATTATTTGGTCGATGATCATAGGCGAGACTAATAATAATTTATACCATCTTATTTCTTATTGGCCCATTACGGAATTTGGAGGAAAAGATAATTTATACCATTTTATTTCTTATTGGCCCATTACGGAATTTGGAGGAAAAGATAATTTATACCATCTTATTTCTTATTGGCCCATTATGGAATTGGGAGGAAAAGATAATTTATACCATCTTATTTCTTATTGGCCCATTACGGAATTTGGAGGAAAAGATAATTTATACCATCTTATTTCTTATTGGCCCATTACGGAATTTGGAGGAAAGATAATTTATACCATCTTATTTCTTATT